TATTAATTTTAGACTTTAAATTAAATTTAATACCATTGCTGTATTTTTAATAACATATTTTTCAATCCACTTGATTTTCATATTGTAATTACTAATAGTTGTGATATTTATTCCGAAAATCTTAGTATTTCTTGTCGATTATCTTCTAAATTAAAAAGTTAATTTTTTTGGAAATGTAGATCTTGTCCTTCCCTAATAAATAAATACGTACGTACATATGATATAAAACGTACTCTATTCACATAAAAATAATCGTTAGACAGTTTGTCATGAACCAGTACAAAGTTACCATAATTGTGCATAAAAACTTCCTCCTTTCAAAAGCCAATAATTGCATGAAATTAATCACCATTACGTTCATTCCGTATCGCTCTGTCTCCCCTCAAAGGACACAATAAAAAGCCGCCAAAACGGCGTGCGTCTGGCTGTCAGTCCGTCTGTGTCAATCAATTAGACTGGCGTAGAGCGCAGACCGGCACGCAGCGTCAAATCTGAGGCCCCGCCCTATATTGATCAGGCCCGCCCAGTTGCGCTGGAATTTGTATTGCGCACTACAAATTTCAGCGGCGTTATGCTTCCATCTACTCTTTCGTAAACCATGCCGTTAAGAGGTACAGCGTTCGAATGTTTTGTGGCTGACGCTTGAGTTAAATGCAATTCCAACTAATTTCAATCTAGCAATGAATTCGAAATCTAAAACTCTCTTTAGTTCGGTGACACCTAAATGCAATTCGCTGTTTACCGGTATCGGTAACAATGTTCGTTAATTCATTAGTGTACATTGTACAAGATAATTGCATATTGAAGATAGCCTTCTAAAGTATCTTGTTAATTTTAATCAACTAGACCGGCACTAATTGTACCAGAATACAAAGTTCTTGCATAAATTATTTACAAATTCAACTAATCGAGTAATTCTGACCAGGAAGTCGCTTTAATAAAATTACGAATTGATTTTTAATCAAAGTTTTTAAAAACTACCAATTTCAAACAATTACCGGTATTTTACAAAATTCGTTTAACGAGATTTCCTTGTCTCAAACCTATTAAACTATGCCTACATTTCACAAGGTTTCTTTTACTATTAGTTGCAGTTGTTTAACGTGAAAAGGCGATCACGCATAATCTTACTAATATTATAAAAGCTAAGGTTTAGATGAATGGATAGATGTTTGTTTAAAGGAGATACCTTAAAATGGCTTCATGGATCTCGCTGAAATTTGGTATGGATGTAGAATATTGGGTGGAAGAACACATAGGGTACTAAATATTTTTTTTTATTCGTCGCGGACAGAGTAGCGGGCGAAAGCTAGTATCTAATAAATATGAAAGGAATAATTGAATACTAAAATAATACAACATAACTTATAAAACATGTCTTTTCAATCTGTAAAGATCCATATTTCTGTACATAAATAATTAAAATATGTATAGATAATAGAAATAAATAGCTCTTAGCATATATAATGATACACAACTAACAATTGTAAATATATTTCGATATAACAAAACTGACTTTGTAATCTCAATTATGCTGACAGTATCTATTATTGTGGTTATAGGCTCTTATTTCAGTGCAGTAGCGAAATAGCACAACCATTAAATGGCTTAAGCGTTCCAGTGTCTATAAAACTAAGTACCCCCCCTTACCTACAGCCACATCGAGACAGCCCGGGGTCGTAACGTGAATGGCGCACTGCTAATGAAACTCGTTAACGATTATTGTTACATCTTCACTGATTAACCCTTACCTACCTATGTATATACACCCTTACAGTACATTGGCTATTGTGTATACTATTATGTATTTATAATCCATTTGTATGATGTTCATGTACTGACTTCTTTCTTAACTTTGTTTTGATGATTGAGTAATATTCGACATTGTCTCGGCGACATTTATTGGAAATACGTTCAGTTATGTTTTTACCGTTTTTCGTTTTAAGAATACTTGGGCTACAACACGATGGGTCTAGTATTTTAGAACCGCATGGTTGGAAAATATTGAAATTTTTCATTATACTTTACAGGTTAAGATGGTTGCATTTTCTTAAATTAAATAATATGGAATAAGAAGCTACATCAAGCTCTGAGCTGTAGGAAATTGAGGTGTAAATCTAGAACATTAAATATTTCTCGAGTCGAAGACCGATATAGCAATCCCCGTCAACTTTTTACTCAGCTTATTAAGTTCTCAACGTGGAGAATTGAGAAGATTACCGATCGTAAAAATAGAATAAAGGCTTTAGCACGTCAATTTTTTTCTTGCTAATTTGAAATAATTTGAACATTAGGTTATGGATGAATCTTCGACTGCGATCTTGATAGTCCATTATTTGTTATGTGATTCTAACTTTAAAACTAGGTGACACGCATTACTTTTACGGTGAAGAATAACTCACTAGCCCAGAGGGGTAGACAGAGACCATGGATCTCCATTTGGGGCTGTCTTGACTCTCCTCTCTTATTTGTTCTACATTTATACATCTATGCATTCATGAAGTACTCAAGGGAAGTATTAAGAGCACCTGAAACCGACGTGCATGTATGCGTATTATTTAGTAGTTACGTAGTACATAAAGTGGTGCATAAAGTTGTTTCAACAATCCAACGGCAATACGGTTGTAGTAAAAATCCATTAGGCATACACGTTAAACCTCGTTCGAAACTGGCGATAGAGTGCACCCCAATTATCAATTCACAAAATCCAGCTCGCATCCGAGTCTTTTAAAAGCCGCCTCCCTCTCAAGACCCCTGCCCCAAAATAACTCCTCTCCGAAGCATTAAATACAATATCTGTAAATTGCTTCTAAGTACCGCTACCCTCATTGGGTATTTTTATCGTCATTACCATAATCTTCGCCTATCTGTCCCTTTCCTTCCTCACTTATTAGAAATCGTTGTCTCCCTCTATCAAAGCTTTAAAATTCCTTGGCAAATTTAAGGTTCATTCTCTCATGATTTAGGTAAGATTGTTCAAAGTTCTCAGGTACTTTGGATACGATTATGTCTTTGTAATTGCGGGCATAGGCGTGAGTGCTTTGCGCGTTTTTTAAACTTGAAGTTTTAAACTTCCTACTTCGTGTGAAACAGATCAGGTGGCGCCGTACTGATAGCCGTGTCCATAAATTAAATTGTCAGCCTTAATAGTGAGTAATTACTTTTGTAAACTCGCTACAGAGTACCTGCCGCCGTAATTGATTATGGAATAAAACATTCAGCAAATAAACCACCGTATTTGCATAAATAAACGTCTATTCTTATACTTTTTTTCAAATTTATTTTTTAATTCAATAAAAGGTGGTCCTTTAATTTTGATTACTTTACAAAACTGCCATAAACTGTAAGAAAACTTTTTCATTTTCCTCGGTTTTTAAAGATAGTTCAAACTCTCAACGCCGAAGCTTTCAAACCCTTTCCCGTTTTCTTACTTATCATCTTCTTAAGGATTAATTAAACAGTACAGATAGTATACTTAGTAGTACAGACCGTACAGTATACTTATAGTTCGACATAAAATTTTAAAGTAATTTTGTATTTACTTTTTTTTGTTTGTATTTGCATCGAACAAAGTATAAATATTAATTATAGTTATAACTATGTTTGGTTAAGATTATGTTAATAAATCGTAACTTACATTAATAAATAACCGAATTATATTTTCGTGGTAAGTAAGCGCGTCACCTCAGGGCGATTTCATCTAACAGTAGTGAAAATTATGCGAAAACAAACGTTCAGTATTAAAAGTTTTCAGTGGGTTCGGTCAGGGGGTGTAAGGGGGTCGGTGCGGGACAGCGTGGAGGGGTGGACCCTCCCTTATTTAGTCAGGCCATTTAACAGGCGCGGCAAAGGGCTAAGAATTAATTATTTACGAGACCAGGAGCGGAGTCGTGCGGAAGATGTCACATTGAACTCTGGACTCTCTCATATTTCGCAGCAACGTTTTTCGGCTGCTAAAATGAAATATATATCTCGTCAATCCAAGTTCAAAGGCTATCATATTTTAATTAAACATATTTTCATTTGAATATCATCGTATATACAATTCAAAATCCAAAATGAAATTTTTCGTCTCTTGATTATTATTTTGAAATGGTCGTAATCAAGTCAAGCCAACATCACAATAATGAACATGATACATATTCTACAACTCGCCTACATTCTTTAATCGCCGTAAATATTATTAAAATTAATATATTTTAGCCTGGTAAAGGGTTTAATTTATTTTCTATTACAGTTAATAGCATTGAATTCTGAGCGAGTATTTTTTAAGTGATTAACCATACTAATTGAATGAACACAGCAATCTAAAGGCAATGTGACATGTAATGGACGTTAAAGAAGTTCTAATATTTGTCTAAGCATTTAGAAGTCTTTAAGGCATCGTAAAGAAGCGTGGGCGTAACCGAATAACTACGTCGGAAACACGTGTTACAAGTTAAGTACTACCGTTTAAAGGTTTCAAATTATACGTTTTAGTATCGAAATTATACAGTAAGTACTGTATTGTATACTTTGTCATTAATATATATTCGTTTTATTGATTCAATCGTATAAATTGGTCTTATTAGAGCTATTTTATATGCGTAGTAGTATTAATCTTACTACCTCTTGTCCTCGATTAATCGATTTTATATTTTAACAAATAAATTCAATTATTTGTGCAATAAACGCGACTATACGAACTAAACTATATATTTTCTATGTACTTGTACTAAATATATATACACTTGTACATAGAAGTGTAAAATTAGACTTGTTAGTCTAGTTTGTTACTCTAGTATGTCAAGTGGAATTTGTTTGGTATTACATGAACTCTACAAACGATTATGTGCAGGAAGTTTCTAATTTTCGCACGATAGCTGTATACTAGTCTGTTTCCTTTAAAGTTATATTTTCTGGATAGCAACGTCAAATTAATATACGTAAATAATGTTATTGTCAGTGAATCTGCATGCCAAAGCACAATAAATTAATCAAGTTAAGTTTTTTCTTTGCAGAGCCGAATATTGGAGGACGCATCGCTGATGTGCAACTCATGGTCACCGAGACATAACGTAAGTAATACTTAGGGCCGCCATTCACGAACAATTTCAAGATGTCTGTCTTCAGTGGCTCTGGTTCGACTCTGCAGTATGCCGACTGCTTGAAGCTGTCCATGTATAGCGGCCCATATATGATATAATTTAGCTTCTATTAATTTCATTTTATAACTTGCTTTGCGAATGAATGTAGCGATCTTTGGCCAAAGATTATTTTATTCATGAGCTTTGCGTTTACAGTTAAGAACGAGTATATGAGATGAAGACATATTGCATGTTTTATGAATGAAGCATTATTATTTTAATTTTCTGTAGTATAGGACTTAGGTGTTGGAGTTTTGACCAGGTTCTTGATGCTCGCATCTATAGTGGAAGGGACTTCGTTGGATATTAAGGTATTTCTTAGATTATCATGACGATAATTGAAAGATTCGCTTAGAATATAAATAAGTAAATTGAGTATGAACGTATTCTGATAATTAATTTATATCAAACATCATTTTGACCCTCGGGGTTGACGCACCACTTTTTGTTCTCCAGTTTGTTCGTCATTTCAGTCTTATTCTAATTTATCTGTCGCTTTGTAAGGTAATTACGTTATAATATAGGAAATATGCAAAATTTACAAAAGTTTGTCCTATAACGTTATATTGAAATATTGTAAGAATTCTTGTTTAAATAATATCTATTGCGTTTTACGTTATAATAATGTTTTAGACTAAAGCCAATATTAGACTTCATTGAATGAGAATTGTAAAACAAGTTGAAAATTTAAGTTAGTGACAAATAACTATCACATTTATTTATAATTTTACATAATTCTGTTATAATAATTAGAAGTCAAGAGGATTATGTGGTACTTTAGTACATAAAACGTGTAACCATGAAATACGATTTTTCATTATACATTTTCAGCTGTGACACATTGTAATGAATTGTAAAGTGGTCACGGACTGTAATTATAACTGCAACAGTTATATTTAACCACTAAATGTGGAGTGAGTTTATTAACACATTTTATGTGAAATGCATTTAATTAAGGAAAATTTGTTAAGTTAATTGCATTTTACATGAAGCGTTAAAATATATGGTAATAAAAGCAAATTAAGTTTTATTCGAAGCTTTTGTAAATACACATTTTATACGTCAAAGGATTTAAATAATGTTACCATTTTTAACTAAAGAGGAAAGTATGTAATAAATTAATCATTAATAATATAATATTTCAAAATAATATCTGCCATTTTTCTATTTCGTCTTTAAACCTGATACGCTTTATCTATAATGCATAGGATATCGCAACGACGGCATAACTAGGACATCATATGAATAGACAACTAGCTAGTTTTTCTTCCAGGAAATGACCGAAGGATGTGTGCAATTTACGTGTAAATAATACATAAAGAACGTTGAGAATCGTCATTACTTTTGACATTTACGTTTTCATTGTAACCAACAAATGAAATGGGAAAATAATAATTAATAGAACAGAAATTGGTATCGTGATATGTCAGACTGTGAGCGAAAATGTTTAACGAAAAACATGAGGAGAAATATGCCTTGTTTTTTATTAATTGCTGCATGTCACTTCAGTACATGCCGAATACATTTATTTTATTTCTAATATAATATTTATTATGATAGAATTTCAATATTGATAGTTATAAAGTAACATTACTCACTGCATGACATCGTTTAGTGAATTCGAATGAAATATTGAGTTATATAAAGGGCTTTCATGAATGTTTTTCGATTCTCATTAATTTTGCTTCGGTTATTTCAATTTGTCAAAAATTTATTTTTAAATGTAGCTTTAAAACCAGTTAACCTTTTAACAGGTACGATAATAATAAGGATATTGGTTAAACAAATGATAAAAAGAGGATCAAAAACGTTGAAAATAGCAGTTGAATTTTTATGAAATTAACGTTGTTTTCACCCTCTGTTATTCCGGCCAACGTAATCGTCGCGGCTAAGTGCATGTCGTATAATCCTACTCGTTGTTAAGCGCCACTATGATGGTACAGTCACATGCAAAATTGTTTACATTATTTAACATTTTATATCTGTCTCAATCTAGATAAAAAACAATTATTGATTGTGTAAATGTATAATTAAATATGTTAATAGATATATTCATCGAACAAAACTCTCAGATATTTCGTTGATAATTAACTCTTACTTGATAATGAGTTTCCTTTATCAAAGAATTAAAAAAACAAATATTTTTATGTTTTTTTTTAAAACAGAATTATAGCGAATTATAAAGCTTTTAGTTTTTATGGGTAATTGCACGAGTTGACAGGTCTGATATGAACGTTGTACCAAACACGAACTGTGTACTTAGCTGGTGTCAAAAAATATTTCGACAAACGAAAAACTCCTACAACCCTTGTTCGTATTTTAACTATTCAGGCAACAAATATGAATTATATATCTCGGGTCGGTACCCTTACCTTGTAATTATATTTACCACACGACTTCATCTGCAGAATTAGTCAAGTCGCTAATTAAGTGAATACACCGTTCTATGTACAAAATATTATTTTAAATTACTCTTCTTAATGTCAATTAACGGAGATTTCGTAAACTTTTTACCCGCAACTTAAGTCACGAGTATATTTTTAAACTTAAATATGTATATAAAATTAAAGAATTGAATTTGTTTTCCACTTACGATTACTTATATTTGACTTAATTGTATTGTCAGAGTCAAATCACATATCTTGTAACAATATATTTGTTTCACTGTCGGATCCTGAGAAAATCTCTGTATAAAACATATCGTCATCCTTGTCATTATCTTTAACAAAACAGAGATAACAATAAGATTTAAATGGAGCGTTTTGTTTACAGAAACCCACGGCTAGATAATCCTTTTTTAGTTTTTCCGTCGTAGTGAGATGTAAATACAAATTTCCACTTTATAAATAACTTATGGATAATCTTATAAAATTAAAATTTAAATAAATTTATGTAAAATTGAATACAATATTATTCAACACTTTAGTATGCATCTGTATTGTGTGTTTACTAATCGGGTGCTAAGACCCCTCAAACCCAAAGCTCTTACATCTCTGTGACACTTGATACAGACATTACGTGGCACAGATGTATCAGGGGATCACGAGATGTCGCCAGTTAACCCTAAAATGAGAACGTTGATGAGTAATAATAGTAATGGATTATTTCAATCTAAGTTGTAGGTAATATTACACAGTTATTGTTTTTAGACTCTCCAGTTAATCAGTCTTACTGTATTTATAATTTTTAAAACGATATCGATGTCTGATAATCTACTACTCTACCGACTTCAAGAAGGCGCTTCTGAACTCCTTTTTATGCTTCTTACTTTAGAATTTCTCTCTGTGAGCTTTGCATGTAAATTGCGTGCTTGTTTGTACAATCTTTCCATTGCATTTTTAAATATTAATTTATTTAACCTATTTTCAGCTGTGAGTATTAATTAAATTAAAATTCGTAGCATGAAATATTTTCTCGTTAATTTGGTCAAAGCGCTTTTGAAACAGTAATTATCGATGAAGCTCAGGCTTTACCCTAGCAATTGAAATTATTTTTATCTCTTTTGAGGGTGGGGACGATTTGCTTAACAATTGCAATCAGTTGGGAGTTTGTAACGCCACTTGTGTAACACGAGTGTAATGATTCGTGAAGGGTGAAGGGACAAGTTTTGATTCCCACGCCTGATTAAAGCATCGATGATTATTAAGATAAGTTTTTAGAAGATTCTTAATACCATTTTATTGTTATTATAGTGAGTGCAACAAGTTTTTAATGCAACTCTAGTTTTTGATATTATTATAATACTTTACTCGACATTTATTCTCTTTATTCACTTTTGCGAATATGTAATGATCCGATTGTTAATTAAATATTTTACTAACTCTGTAAAAATGGCTTTTGATTAGTTATTAATCAGGTGAATTACCAATTGTTTGATTCATTCTTTTAACGGATTATTTATAAAATATATTATAATGTTTCATTTCCTGAAAAAGAACAGAAACGGCGAGATATTAAATTACTAGTATTATGCCAATGAAATTTCACGGTCAATGTGTTCGGTTTGATGTAAAACGGTTTAATTGACTAGAACTTTTTCACTCAGTGAACCATTAATATCAAATCATAGCTTAATATGTTCCTCGTAACTTGTTTTTTCTATTGAGTAAAAAAGATTGATGCATTTTTTATTATTAAATCTTGGACAGTTAATATGCATGGTTTAAAAAGATTATTAACAATTCATTGTTGAAATAAAAAGTCGGTGAAGCAAAAAATAGCGAACCTTTCCAATATATTTTGCTCATACAAAATGAAGTACAGTTCAATTTGAACTGGAGCAATTCAAATGCAAGCTGTATCGCGCAAGAGGTGGTCGGAATAAAGAAGCAAACGTGTGCACCGGCGGTAAATCGAAACGGGAAACTATCACTTTAAAAGTGGTCCCTGGCACTATAAAACTGCCTATTTGGGAGTCAGGCGGCACACACCGCATCTGTCGAAAGCGAGTTCGAGAAACCGCGGAAGCAAGTAACGAGTTGCAGAGGAACACGGGGTCAGAGTCACTCATAAATAATTTAAAGTAATCCGAGAAAAACCCCTGTCCGCGGGCCGCCGGTTGAGGAGCCATGACTATTTGATGTGGCCTACGTAATATCTCTCGCGAATTAGACCGCCCTTTGAACTAGCTACGGTTGTTTGCACTTGATTATACTTGTGATACAATTAACATTTACATGGTTATATTTGTATAACTTATAATTTTATTAAGACTAACTTATTACTTTTCTGTATTTCGTAGCAACTAAAAGTAGAATTTTAACCTACGATTTAGAGATTTAATAATAGTTGTAGATATGATGCATGTTCAGTAGTTATATTATTTATTTTATGATTTTGTAAAAAAAACTGTAACCATTTTTGAATTCTAGAGATTTCAATAAAAAAGTCGTCCCTCGACCATTCTTACTTGGCCTTGAGTATAATAAAATATTAATGAAAACAGTTGTATATAAAAAAGAAAAGATTGTTTGCATGTAACTATCCTTTTCTACCTCAAGATGTATGTAAGCATTTGCGTTGGTACAAACTTTTTATTATTGTTAAGGTGAGTAGCGGCCAACGTTGTAGGCTTAAGACTTCAAGATTCAATATACTAATTTGATGAATTTTTGATTTGGTACTTGAGTTCAAAAAGTAATTTATCATGGGGTTACTACGAGATGTTTTGATGCTTTACTTATTTATAGTTGAAGGAATTTAAAACTATTGAAATAACATAGTTCTTTTTCCTCAGGGCGATCTCTTCAGCGGCCTCAACGATGGGTTGCTGAGTCGGGCGGAGGCGTTAGCAGCGGTCGACATCAGCAAACATCAGTCAGGGCCGCAACCGGGACCGCCGCTGCCGCAGCTGAAGCACGACATGGTGTACCATCACGGTGTCGGTGGCCCACCATCGCACAACGCTAGACCGCATCAGGTACATTTGTGTCTAAACAGTCAGAGTTAGAGGCTTACATTGCAAAGCCCAGAGCTTTAAATCTAGTCTCGTTAAATGTATGCCGGATACTAGTTTTGTATACGACAAGCTTTTAAGTTACAGTACTTGATTAGTATTTTTCTATAAGCACCTAAACAATGCTTATTGTATTTTAAATTGATATAAAACAAAACTTTTTAGAATGTAATATAATTCAATTCAGTTCGTTATGTAATAAAATCTGTATTGTATTATATAACGTACATATATAGGAATATCAAAGGTAAAGTCGATAGCAATCATTCGAATCAAATTTCGTTGCTATAAAACTAAAGCGGACTCATAAAATTGTTGCCAAATTGGTACGCTCCTCGCCTCTGTAGCGACATAAATAATAATAATAGAAGTAAATGCATTTCTCTATGCCCCATACACCTTGGAAAATCTTTGAGAGTTCATATGTCGGTAAAGGAGGGTTCGTTCCTCTGGGATTTGCTTCGAGTGGGGTAGACGAGAGGGCTGTAACATGTAAGAAATATATGCGCTACACTATAAAAATGAGGTAATTTTATGCACTGTTCGATGTAATGTTGCCGATTGTGTTCCCGCCCCTACAATTTCGCTTTAATATATATTTTACATGATTATAAATGGGATTACAAGTAGCGTTTATGAGAAAAAAAACCGTGTTCTTTATTTGAATTGAAAAAATAACTATATGTTTTTTTTATCTTATAATCTCGATGAATTAATAATTGTTAACATTTGATTCGATTAGTCCATACAAATCTTGCGTTTTGATACTTCTAAAATACTGAAACAATAATATAGATAGAATATGGGGAGAAGAATATAGGAATTAAAAATTGGATCAACAGATGTCCGCGTGATCTTAAAAATTAGACTTAATTTATTAGTACTTAGCATAATAGACTGGAAAGCATGATGGATCTGATGGCAATGGATCATGGATTAAAACTATAGTGAAATGTGATTATTAGTCTTAATTGAGATATTTCTACATTTATTTTTATTCAACAATCAAATCTCAAATAACTTACGCAGTATAATGTTGTAGTACTTAATTTAATATTAAATAACACGAGACATGTTTTTTACTTTTGATATTTCTTCATCTATTCACTAAAACTTTGGCCGCGACAACCCTTTGTAGCAAAGACTGGGCATACATAGATTGCATGATCCCAACCTTAATCTTAAAGTATCGTAAACACTAAGGGCCCTACCAAAAAAATACAGTGTCTTCATTACATTTTAGCTAAACAAAGTAAAGTTTTGATGATACTTATTTAAGGGTACAATATGCATTTTTATATCACCGGCGGTTAAAGGGTTAACGTAACTTAAATATTGTCCAACTCTAGGCATAACCAACGGAAAGATTAACAGACTATTTTACATTGTGTTGAATTCGTTTCAAAATGGAAACCATTTTTTCCATTCTACCAACAAAAAGGACTTGAATAAACAGTAAAACTTAAACATGGAGTAAACTACGGAAAAGGGGGAGATAAAAAAACAAGTGTGTACTCGGGGGAGTACAGGACATACGGCCGTTTTTACTAGGTTGCCGTGCAATTGTCGCTTCTGCCACTTGGGACAAGTCTGGAGGGATATGGCAGTTCGTTGTTCGACGCTGCTTAAAAAATATACACAGCCGCTTTTTTGTTTTTAATAGCACGACATTGCGTATAGTGTTACAACGTTTAGATTTTTTTTCGAGCAAAAATTAGAAAGAAGAAAATTGAATGCATGTGTCGATTTAAAACAAAAAACTATTGTATTATAATATAATAAATTATTTATAGCTAAATATGTTGCCTGTTTGTGAATTCCTATATCTCTATCTCTAGAACTATTGACCTAACATATATTTAATTTTTTTTTAAACTTTATAAAATGTTTGTACAGAGGCCGATACCTCCGTTATAACCAGAAATAGATAGAATTTTTTTTTATGATAAAACATGTATTAGAAATAACAAAACTTAAAGATTCATAGTTATTTTTGTTTTGTAGGAACGTATAGCATTTCAAAAAATATAATGCACCGCATTGTAAAATGTTATTACTGTTTCACGAAATTGGCATGATTCGGTTCGAAACGACGCGTTCGGACCCCAATGGACAGTCAAAACATCATTTTAGTGGCGCTCGTAATGCATTCATATCGTCCCATCGTACTTATGCTAGTTTCACACGTGGGCACAAGAGTGTGGCAGAACAGTAGTCAATTTTTTGAATTCACACTTACTGACCAAATAATACAGTTATTTTTTGCATGTTCAATAACAGTACTAATTTGTCCCTCTGCACTGTCCTATTGTACAGCCTTCGTGTAACACTAGCATTACTCATGTACAACAGAAGCTAGTGTCAAATATGTTCCATATGTGAAAGGGGTGGGGGAAAATTGTAGGGGCCATACGACAAGCGAGTAAATCCCATATGTTTTTAAAAAGTGGCAATTAATTCTAGCTTTTGTATTTGATGCTCATTTAATATTTAAATCAGTAAAAAACTATTTCTATTAAAAGTAATCTGTTCCACTCGACCCAGTCTTTGTGATCTTTTTTTTTCATATTTATTAGAAATAGTCTTTAAAATTCTTTAACGGTAAAAAAACACCGTATATGTATATGTTTCATTTAGTTTCGCTTTGTTCAGTCTGCTATGCGAATGTATTTTCGTTCCTATAAAATACCATATAAAAATGTGACATGAGGAACGCGTGTTTCGTGGCTCAACGATATCGCACCCCGAATAAATTCGGCCACTTGTTCAAATCATAACGTTATGATACAAATCACTATTAACGGAATATAATTTATTTAATATCTACTTGCAATTGCTACTGGGGTGTGGGGTTGTTCATATCGATTTGATTGCTTAGGGCTTGGTATATTTAGTAATTTTCTTAATGTTACAAATGCTACATTTATTTAGGCAAATTTCTATGTAATAATTATGTTTGTAGCATGAGTTTATGCTTAATATTAAAATAATTACTTACCGTAGGTTTCTGAGATCACATTCCCTGTTTAAAATTGAATGTTATCTCTGTTTTGTCAAAGATAATAACAGGGCCAGAGATTTCGATCTCAGAAACCAACGGTTAAAGGTATTTGTCTTTTTATAAATACTAAATATTATAGATTTATTATAAATATTTATGGTTGACAATACAAGTTAAGTCTATATTCCTTTTATTCGCATTAAGCTTTATAACAAGTAACAAGGTTCTTCTCAATTATTTTTATTAGCGTAAACCATGACGCACTTACATTGAAAATGAAATTGTAACGTAATTTTCCTACTTAGTAATCATAGAAAAGTGACGCAAAGTGGGGTGGTGATACATGATTATACCACGACATACGCCAAAGCCCCATCAATGTCGCCCCGCGTGCGTTTGCCGAACATATTGTACTCATGTTTGAAATTCATACACCTGTGCGTCGAAAAGTTTGCGGTTTTTGTACTTATTAATTAGCAATTAGATGTCTTGTTCGATAAAATTAGAGAAAATTGAGGAAAATTGCAACACGAATAATGTATAAGACTAGTTGTCGCCATCGACGCGTACGCGCGAAGGGAAAAAAATCTTAATTAGTAGGCTATGTGTTCTTCTTGACTATGGTCTACATCGATACAGTGGAGCCGTTCTGCAGATAACTTCTAACAATCATCAAAACATTCGCATTTATAATATTATTTAGATGTATTCAGAATACAAATCGTTAAAAAATATCTTATCTACTATATTGTTAATTAAAATACGAGTATAAATTGTACTTTCTTCTACAAATATTAAGTTTGTCTTTGATAGAACAACACCGCACGACAAGTTATACGGTATTAAAAAGGAACAAAGCAAACCGTTAGAGGCATGTAAGTTTACGTGCAACACGCGGCTAGTGCCTTGTAATTGTGATCTACCGCTCCCACGGGATCTTCCGCAGTACCGGCTGCACCTAATACAGTACCCCTGGACGCGCCACCGAAAAATTGTTAGCGAAAGACATACGACCTGTTTGTATAGTGAGATAGATAGCCTCGGGTATATTGACAATTGATTTAGTTAGGCCTGTATAGTTCATTTTATTTATTACGGAAAATAAATTTAATTAAAATGAAAACGTGTTTCATGACTTCTCTTACATTTTAGTTATTGAGAACTAAGAAAACGTTCGGTCTGCTAATTTATATTCTTAATTAAAATCCGAAATAAATCTAACTACTAATAGGTTATATTTTTTAGTACATTTTGTTTGTTGTACACAATTGAATAATTAAATACAATACAGTTGATACATCTGCATATGCGTACTTGCGTGCTTAAAATACTCATTTTCTTTTGAAAGACGGTCAACAACATAAGCATATTGGTAAAACACTTGCAACCAATCAACGTCACAACAGACTCACCCTCCTATTGAAAAAAAAGAGTGTTTGCACTCATAAACAATGAGTGCAAATCTGTACAAAGATGATTGTTTATGTTGCCATATCGTCCCCGAGTATCGCCATTGTTACCTCCCCTGCTTTATTTACAATAAAATGACTGATTTAACATGAATGCAGAAGTTAATTCGGCGCACGACAATAATGATTCCGTCACACCCTCGCTCTACTAATCCTCTTAATCGTTATAATTTTGACAGTATGATAAAAAAGGATTACAAAAAGCCATTTTTTCCACAGATGGGCCATCATGGTATGGAAGGACTCGATATGCTCGATCCTTTGACCTCTTCATCTATGACAACTTTAGCTCCCATGGGTGAAACGGCACCACCGCATCATCAACTGCACGGCTACGGTGCAATGAACCATGTCATGAATCACCATCATCATCCTGGCGGCCTCGGTCACGCCCCGCCAGCGCACCTCGGCCACCCGGCGGCTGCTCTTCATCCCGACACCGACACCGATCCGCGAGAACTAGAAGCCTTTGCCGAGAGGTTCAAACAAAGAAGGATTAAACTTGGTGTCACACAAGCAGATGTGGGTAAGGCACTCGCAAACCTTAAATTACCAGGCGTAGGGGCTCTATCTCAAAGTACAATTTGTCGATTCGAAAGTCTGACACTCAGTCATAACAATATGATAGCTTTAAAACCCATACTTCAAGCGTGGCTAGAGGAAGCCGAGGCACAAGCTAAAAATAAAAGACGAGATCCTGATGCGCCGAGTGTATTACCGGCCGGTGAAAAGAAAAGAAAGAGAACCTCAATAGCAGCTCCAGAAAAGCGAAGTCTAGAAGCTTACTTCGCGGTGCAGCCTCGTCCATCTGGGGAGAAGATCGCAGCCATCGCAGAAAAGTTGGATTTGAAAAAGAACGTGGTACGTGTATGGTTCTGCAACCAGAGACAAAAACAGAAGCGGATGAAATTCGCAGCGCAACACTGACCGGCGGGAGGCGGCGCGGCGCTGCTGTACCCTGGCGCTGGGTACGGATACTGAGCCGCCGGCCGCTACTCTCTTGGCCTCTACATTCATCTTCATGGGCCTTTCGATAATATGTCGTCACGGCGTCAAAAACGAAAAACACCGTATATGAGCAATAATAAGATCTCGTTTTAATCTCATTCTTTTATCACTTTCTCTCAAATCAATCGCAATTTAGTACTAGAGTAGATATTGTAGTACGTCATGAGCCAATTTAAGTTTTCGTAAATAAGAATTTTAAATTTTTTTCGAGACACAGGGTATATAATTTATTATATACAAATTATTCCAATAAATAAAAATCGCTTCGTCAAACACAACTTTAATTTTGCGTTGATGTTTGAGAGCATCGAAATGTAAATGAAATTTTAAAATCAGGATTTTTAAGAGAATGTGCCTTGCAAATATTCAATATTCTGTGTTTAATGTTAGTAGTATCATCGTGGTGCATTGGAGCTGACGATGAACACTTAGGGTTGAGTCCTTATGATTCGTACATATCGAAATACTCATAAAATTGCGTCTGGGAGTAGATTAGGACTTTGACTTGCGAATAAATGATTTGATAAGTTTAAACTTCGCTTTTATACAAAGCATGTTATATGACCTAATCTAAAAACAGACCATTTTGAATATTACTTATTGTTTATTAATAATTTGTTGGGCCTTACTTTCTTGATTTTTTAAATTGTACAAAATAATCATAAGTGTATAATTTCTTGCTATAAGTTGTAGATAGGAAACTATGCTCTAGTCTTAATTATACTGTTTATTTTAGATTTATTTTTGAGGAGTTTTCTAAACGTTTCACAAATGGCACAAATTTATAGTAAGGAGTTATTAGCGACATTTAGCCAAAATAGTGTTAAAGTCATTGTAAATAAGTCACATTTCTATTTAAAACTAGTCATTAGACGAACTATAGTTACTAAATTAAATGGAATTAGTACAATATTTCGGAACTTTGAAACCTATTTCTTTTTAGTAAATAGTGAAACGTTGTACGATTTTAGAAAAAGATTTCTTTTTAATTAAAACCACATTTTTTTCTTCAAATATTGACTGGAAATATCTTTTAACTGGAATAAAAACTGCATTTAAAAATTCGTGAATTATAAATAATATTTTTAAATGATATTTTGTAAATATAGAACAAGTATAAGATAAGTAATAAAACGTGCAATTTAGATCTCGGTAATTAATAATTAAGTGCTAGGAATTTATTAAGTAATCAAAAAAATCGTAACAAACGTATCCTTTTCTAATCTAGTCACTGCTTTTATTATAATATTTGTTTTGTATTTTATATTTTATGAGGATAATCGAAAATTTCATTAAATTTCTGCCGTAATAATAACAAATTGTATGAATTTAAGTTTTTTATTTTATGTCTGGAAATATTGTTAAATACAAAGGCAGGTGTTGCAAGCATTTACAACGATATATTTTTAGCACTTTAAATAATTTCACTTACTATAATTAATGTTATTATTTTGTTTCTATCGCACATTGTTATATATCTCGTTATCCTCGATGAGTATGTGAGTGTTATTCTTTTCTTTTTTTAATATAAAAGATTCTATTTCAAAGCGTAGTTTTAAGTCTTTATTAAAAATGATATAACTCCTGAATTCACACACTATAGGAACACATACACACACATGTGAAATAAACGCATAGTCATGTTTTTCAAGAGCCTTTTAAATCATTGAATTGAATAAATACATCATTTTGTTAAATGCCAGCAATAAAACTTATTTTGCAAAAGGAGCAATACTCATTGGTAAATTGTAAGATCGCAATAGACAAATTTTGTCGATTTAAATATGTTTCTATATTTATATTATTAGGTATGAGTGAGATAATGTTTATAGAAAGTATTCAGTCTAATATTGAAGGTGAAAATCATTCCATTGCGAGCTAAATATACGGACTGCTTTAGCAGACCCCAGTAGCAGCATTTAGCGGTCGACGGCAGTTGACACTTGCCATACACGGACCGCAGTTTTCTGTTAATTAAAAAGCTACTGGCTTCATACCTACAGCTTGAAGCTTTACTGTCGTCTACCTGAAGTAGTTCGTATACAGCGGCCGTTAGGAAGTGTGTGAGACTGATTAAAGTTTGTTGTAAGAAAATTCAAAAACGAAGTATGAAGCACGAATTGCGAAACTTCAGTGGTGGTTTTTAAGTAACTAAGTTATAATGTAAAAACTGTTTAATTCTATATGATACAGTGTTTATTAATTTCTATATTTACCTATATTAACACTGCCATTTAAGAAATATATAACCAAAGAGTCGTAATTATAAAGAAATCAATATTGAGAAATAATTATTATTTTTAATTCTAATGAACAACTTCCCTTTAAGAACATACATAAATCATTTGCCTACTCACATACTATCAAAACTTGTCTATTTCGATAAATTAGTATTAAACAAGAAACATCGAACCGTGGATTCCCACTATCGTACTTATACGAAAACATATTCTCATCCGTATTCTATTTGAAAATAAACTGACATGACACTTTGTTTTTTGTTTGGGATATTTTAACCATTGATGCATTGAACTCTGTACTTAACTACTTACTTAAAAAAAATACAGTTTTTTTTTGGCTATTAAGTTAAACATTTGTTGAAACATGTTTTTTTTACTTTTATAAGTAGTTTTTTTGGTACACGACAGACATTTTGCATCACTTTAGTATATGTGTAATTTTGTATCACATGTTAAACAATTTAAAACAAACGTGACAGTTTATTTTGATGGTAATTTTTGTAAGTTTAATTCTAAACTCTGTTTATAAAGTTTTTATGTTAAATGCTTGAATTTCCACTGCCAAAACTTACGTAATAAGACATATTACTATATCTATCATTGAAATAAAAACAGAGATAAAAATGTTTCGGTACATTCGTTTTAACAGTGGAATTCCATGGCCAGGACAACATACATTTGTTATTAAATAAAAGGTATGCGAGTCTCGCAAACAATTGCCTGTTATTCTGGTTAGAGGCATGTCCGTATGTCTATATTATTTTTACAAGGCTTATATGAATTATAATTTTAAATCTAACATTATGTACATTTAACTATATTTAATATTTTAAAATAAGATAAGAAAATGCAATAATAAAGTGTAATGTTACACTAAAATATAATTTCATTTGTAAATAATTGATGAAATAAATAATGAAACGAATTTTACTGCTGTAATCGTTATATGTAATTAGTACACAGAATCAACGCTAATTTAAGTAGTCATTAGTAGTTTCTCTTGCAATTCATTGATTCTTAATTGTATGATTATCAAATAAACTGAGGAAACTTATTTCGAAAACCAATAAACAATAAATCAATAATAGAAATATTAGTATAATCTTTGTTTTATTGCTTCCTGAATTTTTACGAAACAAATGAGATAATTAAGGTTTATAAAACCTCGTGCGCTAACCCCAAGTGACTGAGACAAAGACAAGGTGTCATCCCTATTCAGTGAATACTTATAAAAATATATCTTCTTAAGTTAATAAACTACAAAATAGTATATTAGACCGCAAAATACATGCTTGCCTGTTCAGCCGTGAGAAGCTCACTGCTGAGCTTACGCTCATCAAGATCGTCACGATGACCGGTCCAGTGCTACCCGCATTCAGGATACTCCCGGAACCTTGATCAGACCTCTAGAAATCACATAATTAAAATAAATTCGGTAATGACAACGAAGAAATCGAATGACACCTCACTAATCAAAATCGGTTATTCTTTAGACTCTAGGTACAAAGTATATTACACATATACAAAGCCACATGTATAAAAATAAACATACTGCTAGAAAAAAAAAATCTGACACTGTTGCGGTGTATCGGCGCAATACTAGCCTTCTTCAAGTATTCTTCAAGTCAACGCTATGTCCCCTCACTAATCAATGTGACACTTATGTAGGTGGGTAACGACAGCGCGCCAATAGCGCAAAAGGATTCTAACTAATAATGTCTAAAAATACATATACACCAAAAAAGATTGAAACACGGTTTAAACGCGGTGTTAAATTTCCCTCTAACTTTTTCCCTCTTTTTAACAAAAAGAGAAGCAACAAAAACACAGCGAGTTAAGTCAAACAATTAAAATAATATTATACAACAATTTCAAGTGAACCTATCCCTTTCTCTATGCTATATTATACCTTATAGAATTATTCAGAAATAATTCAATGGCGTAGCTAAACGTGAGACGGTGGCAAGGGTCAGTTATTCCCCAAGGGCGATGACTTACAGCCCGGCGAAGCACTAACTCAAACATTTGGCTTTGCCGTCTCTTCCGTCCACAGTACTGTGTATATAAGCAGATCGAGACGAAATACACGAAATTTTAGGCTACATCTATTTATTGACTCCATTCCCTTGAGATGTTGAAAGTCGAATATGCTGTAGTAAAGTTGCTTATAAGATTAAATAAATAACAAGAAATATGAAGCCTATAAAAGATATTCAGAATTTATTACTATTATATTACAGTTAGTTACGCATCTATTTTATTTTTTTTAAACTTAACGCAATTACTATACTACTTACTACAGTATATTATATACCTATAGCTAATACATAAGTATGTGGTTGCGGCAGCCACCCACTTATATGTAATCTTGAGTATCATTAGGGCTTGATTGGAATCAAACCTGGTATCAAAAAGCACAATGAAATGTAAAAATTAAACTGTGTATAACATGTTACAGTATTGAACTTTAATTTTTAGAAGTAAATATGTACATAAACTGTAGAAAAAGTTTTACATAGCTTTCTTTGATCTTATGGATTTGTTGTGTTAATTGAATCTGAATTGAATTAATTTAATAAAGTTTGAAAAACGAATCAATTACAATATGTAAACTCGACCTGGTAGGGAGCGAGCGCCCGAGGCCGTAGCATTATGATGTACACCGTATTAAAAGCCCCG